GTCAAGCAGAAGGATACAAAATGGAGTTTTCAAGTTGCTTACAGGACAAGACTAACATGCTTACATTTCACTATTATTATACTTTATGTTAACATCAGCTACATTAGTTCAGATCATGCTACACCAGGGCCACTCAAATGTTATGAAGCACACAGGCTGCAACAATGACCTGAAGGTTGGTGTCCTCAGCAACCTCAAGGTGGATGGTGAGGGTGTGCCAGCAACCCTTGAGGCAGCCAAAGGCACACTCCACCAGGGCGCAGATCCAGCCCAGGCCCTGGTTGAAGCAAGTCTGTCAGGGGCCCGACTGGCCAGTGTAGGGCCACATGAGCCGGGGAGGGGCAGGTAAGCAGGGTCCCTGATAAGGACGGGTGGAACCACCATGGCACCCAGTTTGAGGTCCAACACCCCCAGCACGAAGAGCCCACTCTGCACCAGGGCTGGCAGGGTGGTGTTCAGGAAGATGTGGACATTTTGGGCACTGCACACCCAGCTGGCAGTCACATTGGTGAAGGTGCCACAGTGGTTGACAAAAGCCTGGATCACATCGGAGTGAAAGCCCCTCCACATGTAATGGGGCAATCACCATTGGGCTGGCAGGTGACAGGGATGTGGGTCTGTAAAAGGTTGCCATCCCCAGTGGCATTCTAGCAGCCTGTGAGGGGCACGCTTGAAGTCCTTTACTACTTCACTCCTGTATTTTGTCCTGTCACTTGCCTTTACTCTCCTGCCATGTCTGGATGTAAATATTGTTTAGTTGTTCCTACAAGTGGGAGACTGCCTATTGTGCACCCTGATGACTAGGGCTGTCCTTGCTGTCATATTGAATGAAATAGTTTGAATGTTTGTAATAGTTGCCCATTAGCCAGTTTAGGAAGAAGACGAGATTTATCTTCTTATCTAGGCCATTGTTTTGGTCTACGTGTGGAAGGTCCTGACTTTGCTCAAAGTCTTAACTCTTGAATTTTATCTTTAGAGGCCTTTAACAAAGTTAACATAAAAATGACCCTTAAGCAAATATCCCACATTCTGATAAATCAAAACCCAGGAGGCTTTTAAAAGATTGGAAATAAAAGCCAATTCAGTGATATGGAAATTCCCCAAAGTAATTAAAATGATCAACCAAAGAAACTGATTACCAAGCAAAAGAATCTGTTAAGTAAGATCTGAGCCCAAATTTGGGAGTAATGACAGGTTTGGGTAGGAGGGGCCCAAGATGGCAACTCACTCAATAAAAACTGTAACCTACTGTCCCAATTTGGAGGTAGCCTCACTTGCAGAACAACGAAGGAAGAATCGCAAGTGTAGGCCGGATCAGACTAATCACCTGAACCACCCTCTCCGTGAACACGAATCTCTTAGTTCACGCTGAAGCTGCGGAGCACCCGAAAGGGACTGAAGGAAGGGGACTTAGTCCTATCAGTATTGAGGCCAGCCCATTGAATCGTATTGCTGTGGCGAGTCCATTGAACCATACTACTGAGGCCAACCCATTAAATTGTACTACTGAGGAATGAAAGCATATCTAGATGTTTGGCTTCTCGGAATCCTAGGATTGTAAGTATGTTATGAAAAATAATAGTATTGATTCAAATTTATGTAATTGTTTTAAGGAAGTGCATTTGGAGCATTGTTTCTGATATATGTAGTTATTGTGTTCTTAATGTTTGTGGTATTTCTTAAAGCTAAGCAGTGTTATATGTGTAGCAAATAATTTTAAAGTAAAATTGTGTTGTATGAATTAAGTGTGCAATCATTGTGAAATCGTACAATCAACTAACTACTCCCCCAGCCAGTGCATCAAACGAATCAGTAAGTTGTGTGGGTTTTTCTCTATTCCATAACCCACTAGAGACACTTGCATGCTCCAACCACCCCATATGTGCCCTATGCCTCACAGATGTTGTTTGCATTTCAGTGTTGGAGTTCTCAGCCATCACAGGCTTTTCACTCGCGTCTTTCTCTAGCTAGGCCTACCAGCCTAAACCACCATGTAGGGTTTGACTCTGAGGCTCTAGCTCCTTAACACTCTCTGGGTCTGTGGCCCTCCTTTTGTGCTTATTATGACACCAGACCTTCTGGTCCCCTTTCACACTGTGCCCCTGGGCACCAAGTTGTTGGGTCCTCTGCCTCCTCAGGCTTGGCCCCTTTCTGATAGTTTGAGCTACTACCCTAGATCCACCCACTAGGACCCAGCTTCAAAGTCCTCTCTTCCCACAGTCAGCTCTAGGCCCCTAGCCCCATACAGCTGCACCCACTAGTGCACTGGGCTCTTTGGCCCTTTATGACTGCACCCTGCAGCATGAATGAGGTCTCCTCCTCCCCTACAGCCTCAACCACAAACCACCGGATTACCAATCAAACACAAACAGTAAGCCCCTGGGTTATAACCAAAATAAAGTTAAGGAAGGCAGTCTGCCAGCTCACATTTTCCATGGCTCTGTGCTTCTTCTTGTGGGGCTGTTGCAGCTTCTCCAGGAGTCATCAGGAGTCCACCCCCTCTACAACCAAGCTCCACATCCAGCTCAGCTCAGAGTTTTTATAGGTCTGGTGTGCCCCCTTCTGGTCATCTGACCACCCAGCAGGGCTCGGTTTTTAACCCCTACCCTGCCAGCAGGCTGTGCCCACAAAGTACTGATCTTAAAGGGGCCGGCCTGCTTTCTGGTAACAAGGCTAGGGCTCTCTGTTACAGGGCCCCATTCAGGGCCCCAATGAACTGGGGGAATCCCAGGGCACACAACCTCACCATCACCTCCAGGGGGTCATGCATGCAGCGCACTGTGTGCCCCAGCATGTTCTGGAGGGCACTGCCCACCTCTAGGACAACCTCCTTGGTGGTTGCCTTGCCTATGCCAAAGAAGTGGTCCATGTAGTAGCGGCTGGCAGGTGTGGCCAGTTTCAGCAGAGAAATGGTCAGCCAGGCATCTTTGAGGAGGGGCTGCTGCATGGTGGTATCCTGCCACTCTAGGTGTAGGCAGAGCTGCTCCAGGAAGTCCAAGAAGGTGGCCTAGGTTATGCAGAATGCCTCCAACCACTGCTCATTGTCCCAGGTGTGCTTGTGCTGGACAATGTGCAGCCACCAGTCCTGGGTGCCTCAGCGGGCCAAGAGGTGGCAAGACTAGCAGCCCACGAGGGCGAGGTTGGCATCCTTGCTGGGGTCTGGCCAGCAGGATGAGGTCCCTGGGACAATGCATTGGGGCTGGGCAGGCAGTCACTGTATGTGGGGAAGCTGGCAGGGCCCTGTAACAGAGAACCCTAGCCCTGTTACTAGGAAGCAGAGCAGCACCTTTAAGATTCAAGTCTTCAGAGCGAAGCCTGCCAGCAGAGCAGGGGTTAAAGGCTAAGCCTTGCAGGCTGGTCAGCTGACTGTGGCTCTCAGGTGACTGTGAGAGGGCCCAGACCAGAACTATATAAGCCCTAGGCTGATCCAGAGGAGCCTAGGCTGGGACAAAGGGTGGACTCTAGAAGGCTCCAAGCAAAGCTGCAGCAGTTCTACAAGTGAGAGAAACTGGCAGTGGGGACTCAGAGACATGGAGCCCATGGGTAAGAAGGCTAATGGCCTCCATTAACTTTTCTTTGTTATAGCCCAGGGACTTACTATTTATGTTGTAGTTTAATCTGGTGGTTTGTGGATGAGGCTATAGGGGAGATGGAGACCTCATTAGTGCTCACAGGGGCCAGAGAGCCCAGTGCCATGGGGATGCAGCTGCAGGGACCGGAGATCCTGGCACCACAGGGGCACAGCTACATGGGGCCAGGGGCCCAGAGCAGATTGAGAGAAGGTAGTGCCTCAAAGCCAGCCCCAACACAGTGGGTCTGAGCTAGATGGCCTACCTACATAAATAGGGGCAGAAGCTGCATTGGCTGAGACCCCAACAGAGTGAACAAAAGATGTGTATATAACATCTGCAAGGCATGGGGCATGATAAAGGGATGGTCTGGAGTCATGTAAATAGCTCTTAAGGCAGTAGCTCATCACCTCAGAGTGTTTGTGAACATAGACCAGACCTGGGAAGCCCTGGGGAAACCTCCTCTTTGAGAACACAAAGAAGCATGAAGACATGGCAGGAGAGTGAAGGGGAGTTTCATAGTAACTAGGGTCAGGAGGGACCTGAACAGATCATTTAGCCTGCCCCCCTGCCTCAGACAGGAATGAATGTTGGGTTCACAAGACCCCAGACAGGTGATCATCTAACCTCTTTTTGAATTTAGCCAAGGTAGGAGCAAGGACCACTTCCCTAGGAAGTTGGTTCCAGATTCTGGCCACCCTAACTGTAAAATATTGCTATCTGATCTGTAACCTAAACCTATTCTCCATCAGCTTATTACCGTTGTTCCTCGTCACCCCAGGTGGTGCTGGGGAGAATAGGGATCTTCCTATTTGCTGATAATCTCTCCTGATGAGATTGTAGGCAGCCACCAGCTCTTCCCTCAGCCTCCTCTTGCCAAGGATGAACAGGTTCAGGTCCCTCGGTCTCTCCTCATAGGGCCTGTCCTGCTGCCCTCTCACCAAGTGGGTGGCCTTCTCTGAACTCTCTCCAGGCTGGCCACATCCTTTTTAAAGTGTGGCGCCCAGCACTGGACGCAGTACTTCAATTGCGGCCTGACCAATGTTGCATAGAGGGGGAGTATCGCCTCTCTGGATTGGCTTGAGATGCATCTTTGGATGCATGAAAAGGTATGGCTGGTCCTGCTGGCTGCGGTCTGGCATTGGCGGCTCATGTTCATCTTGGAGTCAATAATGACTCCAAGATCCCTTTCCGCCTCTGTGATTTCAAGAGGGGAACTCCCCAGCCTGTATGTATGCTGTGGATTTCTTCTCCCAAGGAGCAGCACCCTGCATTTATCTATGTTGAACCCTATCCTATTCTCGTCCTCCCACTTTTGTAGTCTGTCTCAATCTAGCTGCAGCCTCTCTCTCCCTTCAAATGTGCCCACCTCACCCCACATCTTAGTGTCATCAGCAAACTTGGATGATGTGCGTTCAACCCCCTCGTCCAAGTCACTGATGAAGATGTTAAACAGTGTGGGCCCGAGGACTGAGCCCTGGGAGACCCCACTGCTCACATCTCGCCAGGTTGAGTACAACCCGTCCACCACTACTCTCTGGGTGTGCCCCATCAGCCAGTTTTTTTACCCATCCAACTGTGCAGGCATCAATGCCACAGTCACTTAATTTATTAATAAGAATGGGGTGAGAGACAGTGTCAAAGGCCTTCTTAATGTCTAGAAAGACTTTGTCCACTGCAACACCATCATGCAAGGATTTAGTTACCTGGTCATAAAAGGCAATCAGGTTGGTCAGGCAGGACCTGCCTTTGATGAACCCATGCTGGTTGCCCCTGAGCATGATCTCCCCGGCTGGTACCCCACAGATGTGCTCCCTGATGATTTTCTCCAAGATCTTCCCAGGGACCAAGGTGAAGCTTATGGGCCTATAGTTACTTGGGTCCTCCTTCCTCCCTTTCTTAAAAATGGGGACCACATTAGCTAGTTTCCAATCCCCCAGCACCTGGCCAGATGACCAAGAATGTTCATACAGCCAGGCCAAGGTCTAACTACATCTGCACTGACCCAAGTCCTAACCGAGTCTGTTCCCAGAACAAAATTCCAATATAATTGGATTTCAGGGGCCCATTGCAAGGCCCTAGGAAGTGGGATCAGTTTGCTGCTAGGAGCTGCAAATCTGTTCCCACATCCCTGCATGTGTAGATGCCTGCCCAGGAGTGTTTACTCGTGAATAGTTTACTCAAAAGTATTCTGGTCCCACATCAAATGCATGTGTAAACACGCTCAGTATGCTGCTTTGTTCCTTCACTTCATACTAGTAATTTATTTTTGTGATAGAAACATTTCACACACTACTGAGACATGTTAGAAAACATAGGTAACATGTAGGGGAGGCATGGGGGGACACATACCCCTCCCCCAACAGGGCCACTGTTGATGGTGCCTGTGGAAGCTCGCCAGCTCTGGCCCTGCCACTAGCAGCGCCTGCAGGAGCCTGCCAGCTCCAGCCCTTCTGCCAACACCGTTGGAGGCGCCTGCAGGTGCCCCCCCAGACTCAGGAGGCACCAGTCACCCATGTTAGAAAACATGGATAAAGAAGGGAAAGTGACAATCCAAACAAGTGTTCTCCAAACACTTCTCCTATGACATAAATGTTCAAACAAATGAATTAAATAAGATAAAACCAGGGCTGAAAAATATTCCTTCCGCTGAGGGTTCAAAAATCAGTGACAAACTCAGATGGAGATCTAAGTCGGCTATAGTTGGGCTTTACTCAACACATCAGTCTAAATGGCTTGACCTATGGTAATACTTTATAATAGGATATTGTAGAGTAATCTCTGCAAGGGCACTATGATCATGATTTTTGGTACCTGTTGTTACCACTAGTTCATATAACTTAAAAGAGAACCATCTCTAGGCCCATACAATGTATGTAACATTCCTGGTTTCTAATACTAAATGTATCAAGGCAAACACTGTGCTGGTCTGCATTAAAGCAAGAGAGTTTGCATTTCAATAATTACATTACATTATTTAAACATTTACCCACTTCAAAATAACAGCAACCAGAGCATTAGCATGTGCTGTGGTCAGCACCACCCAGATCCTTTGGACATGAGCACTTCATCCAAGATCAAAGATGAGTCTTCATTTATGCACTCTACATTCTGCACAGCAACGAATGCTGCTTCTCACGTTCTTTGTTTCATACAGCAATGAGATAAAGTAGTCTGGGTTCATGTAATTTCTGGTTGTGTATGCAACACTCCTATCACAGCCTTTTTTTTTTTTTCTTTAGACACTTTTACAGGGCAGGAAACATCAAAACATGGGTATAGACATGAGCAGTTATTTGTATTCCTCTCCATGCTCTTCAGCCTACTTCCTTTCCCGTTTCTGGAGCAGCAATCTTGACTCACGTACTTATGTTTGATCTGAAAGATTATTCTGGAATTATCCAAGAATGCCACCTGAGGCTTTTCATAGATCTTTTTTTTTTTTTCTGGAATAGGCACTTTTCTGTAGATTGAAACATGCAGGCAAAAATGGGGCTATTAGTCCAAAGCAGACGGAACTAGATCCAGGCCCTCAGCTCCACTTATGAACACACATTTCAGTCTACATTCATGTGGCCCCAGGTCTTAGCTGAACTTTCGTGTTCCTGTGATGGCTTTCCTACCATAAAAAATTTTCTAGAGCAGCTAAATGGGTATCAAGGTGGGAAGGAAGACCCATCTCATCAATGGTAATGGAAGGGCTGGGAATATCAGTGGATTTTTTCCAACAACCAAGTGCATCTGTTCTTACTTCCTTCTCTTTCCTCGTACAAAATTCAGGAACTGCTATGCAGGAGCATGGTACAAATGAGAAATAACTCTGCAACTGAAACCCTCAAATGCTCAGAAATGCAGCAGTTAGTACCCTGAGCCTGCTTTACCTCAACTCCTTTGCCTATGGGCTTCACAATCAAGCTTTCCTTGACTAATTACATCAGTCATCATCATCATTCTTATTAATGAGAAATATTAGGCAAATATCACTCCTTCCCTCCGCAACAATACCAAGACTTTTGTAAAACTATCATTCCACAAGACCTCCATGCAAACAGCTAAAGCCTCTAAGAAACACAGAACCTAAGCCTCCACTCAGTACTGAGTTGGAGTATGACCATTATGTAAGCTAAAAACCCTGTGACCTAGAATGGAAAGCAATAGAGTTGGTAATCTCAGGCAAGCTTTAGGACACAGACATAGCATGAGCCTACCTTATTGTTCGTGCTAAGTGAGGTGGTCTTGCCAAAAACCTCCAGAGGCAAGGAGAAGGCTGTGCTAGGCATATGGATGCAGGATTGCTGTATTGAAGGGCATGGTGGAGAAGCACTCGGTTCTAATGCATTATTTTGGTTCAGTCTCTTTCTGTTGCCACATAATCTGCCATGTTTCTATTCCTCTGGTTTCTTGCTAGTTGTCTGAAGCTTTTACATCTGGGAAAGAGGTGTACAAGGCATTAGTATGGTGTTCAGGCAACCACCGAATGCAAGGTGGTCCATATGAATTGCTAATAGTACCAACAGCCATGAGAGTGTGTTGGGGGAAGGGATCACTTGGCCCAATCCTCACTCTCCAGATGAGCCAATGTAAAATTCATATGAAAGGGAAAAGCAGCTGATGACACACCATCTTTCAAAAATAATGTTGTGATCTTTAAATGTGAGATGCCTCTCTGTCCCCAGACCCTCCTCCCATTTTATACCTTCCATCGCTCCATTATCCTGCATCAGAAATGCCATAAGTTCCCATGTGCTTTCCCCAGCCCTGAGCCAAAGCAGCCTCCTGTTTGAAGGAGGAGGAGGGTGGTGAAGTCTGTATGAAGCTACAGAAAAGCCCCAGCATCAAGTCATTGTGTGATCAGATGCAGCGACAGCAACACCAGCAGCAGCAGGGGAAAGCCGTCTGGTTGGGGGGAGACAGCAGCTTATTTCAACTGTGTTAAGAGAAAGTATGCTTCAGTGTTGCTGTTCTTTAGGGCTTCCTAAAAAGAAAGGCAAGAAAAATTTCTGTGTGGGATGAAAGTGGCTTGTCTCGATTATTTACCCAGCAATTATAAGTAAATCAGTGATGCCTGAAGGGGATGGTTGCCATAGTTACAATAGGATTGGAAGGACCATCATTTGGTCCTGGCTTCAGCCAATCAGGTTGAGGATCCAAAGCTGCAATATAAAGTAAAGATTCCCATCTTCCAGCCACACAGTTACCAAGAAAGAGAAATAGGTTTAAGAATGTTGGAAAGTGCTCCGGACAACAAACAAGACGGCTTCTCCCGTCATGGCGGACTGTGACAACCCAGCGGGAAGAAAACGCAGCAGGGCAGGCAGGTGAGAAAATACAACTCTCCCTATATCTCCATTTATTGTTCTGCCTCACTGCAGCCCCCTCCATCGCCCCACCCCACCCATGGCCACCATTGACCCCTTCACCCCTACCCCCGAAACCAACAATAAAACCCCCTTTGGATGAGGGACAAAGAGATCTGTATGGAAAAATGCTCAACTATTCTCCCAAAATTGTTATCGTAGGCCTTTCAAATCAAATTTCTCAAAGCAGCTTCATCAAAGGCCCCCAGCTGGGCTCTTGCAGAGCGACTCAACCCATATTTCAGCCGCCCACATGGCCCCCTCCCCCACCAGGTCTTGGATGATGTGACAATTCATCACAAAGTCAGTGCTGCTTAAAAAGTGTATTTGCAAAAAGAAAGAAAGAGCGCGGTTTCTAAATTGATCATAGTCTCCAAATCTCAGTACTTGAGACTTCTGAGGACGGATATTTCCAAAGGCTGCTATTAATGACTTGTAAATGGAGTCCTTTATAGGATCAAAGCCAAAGGGCCAGGACATAGTTGTGTGTGTTTGCTGTTGTGATAGCTAGAGGAGGCGGCTGCGTGTAGACAGCAAAGCCGCAGGATAGTGGGGGGAGCTTTCCTCCCCTGCTGCTGCTGCCCTCCATGTTTCTTAGTGTCGCTGCTGCTGCTGTGTGACCCATCTTGCAATGGATACTGCAAATGTGATGCCAGTCAGGGACAGAGTCAGCTAATATAATGCAATCAGAGTTGAATGGCTGGAATGGAGACAGACAAACTACGACTGCTTGCAGCTGAAGGAAACTGGGAAAGAAGAGTTCAGAAACTAAGTAGTTGAGGATCCAAAATTTGTCATTAATAAATAAGTATTTCAGTTGGAACCTCTCAGGACACCTTGAATAGCACAGCAGCCCATTCCTCTAGTCAGAGGCTGATGGATGCTTTCTTAGCAGTTGAGCCTACTTTGTTGGGTTTCCTTTTTCTCCTCTAAGTTGTTGAATCTCAGGGCCCTTTGGCCTAAGAGGAGAAAGGATACAGGCAAAGAGAGGATAGACAGAAGTTCAGTTACTTTTTCTTTACTGCTTCTTCTCTTGAAATATGCATTCTATTTTTGTTGTTAGCTGGAATTTGAGCTCTAGGCTGTATTACCCCAATGTAAGCACCACCAGCAAAACAAGCTCCCCATCATATTCTCATACTAATAGAAAGCAAACTCACAGATGGTAAAATAACAGAGTCTTGTAGGTTTCAAAGGGACTTTCTATGTGAATTGTTACATTATTAGGTAAACTCTAAGAAGAAAATCTTTTAATCCACTGTGGCTAATCCAGTCCACTTTTGTTGGCCATGGCATATTCAGCACCAACAAAAGGCTCTGGCTGACAGACACCGGCATACATAATGTATTTATAACTCTGCCACTCTGGGCTTGTTAGGCAGCAGAAAAAGACACATCCCAGGCCAGCAGCAGGGGCCAGAGTAGAGGATTTGCAAAACTTTTATCAGTTATTTTCATTTCAAAGAATCCGACTGATACTTACACTGAACTGCTTACCAGGAACAACACAAAGAGGAAAGAATAGTTCCCAATGCTGGTCTGCTCCCTGCTTTAGTGCCTCTTATAGGTTCACCCCAGTCCCTACTCTGAAGGCTACTAAAGGTTTGGCTAATGTGTTTGGGTCCATGGTCTAGAAGTACTGATAGAACCTGGTTAACTTCTTTGCAATGCTAGTAGCATGCTGGGACAGTAACAGAAGGCATGTCATCCCAAGGAATGGATTTACCATGAGAGAAATTGAAGCAGTAAAGGATGAGTGTTAGGGAAAGCTCTCAAGTGGAGGAGTCCAAGGCATGGAGAATCCATGAAGGCAGGACACTTGGACAGACCATACACAACAGCTTCTGCTGCATAGCCCTGGCACAAGTCCTTTCCATTCTCCATGTGCAAAGATCCCATCTACATTTCCACAGCATGCCCAGTCCTTCACCACTAGCTCTAGAAGAGGAGTCCGGGGATTTCACCTGCACAGCATGTCCATTCAGAGACAAAGTGCAGCAGCAGATAAAGATCTGTGTGACTTCATCTGAGGAGACAGTCTTTCACTCCAGCTGCCTCAGAGCCCCATTTAACTGATGCTGAGCAAACTCCAACTAAAGCAGCAACCCAGGGCGAGGACCTTCTTAGGATAAGGTGTGCAATCCTTGCACACTAGTCCGGGGGGGGCAGGGGACTATGAAGGCAACTGACCTGAGCCCAGGTCACCACTCCTGAGATGTATTCTCTCATCACTGCAGCCACAGCAGATGTCACTTCTATCAGTCAGAGCTTATGATTTTTTTTCAGTATAATCTTCCTGGGCTTTCTGTCAGTGTGCTATGGAGTGAAGTATTGTTGGGTAAAAGGATACAAATGAGGCAGGGCTATGCAGTAGCACATGCCGACTTAAAGGAATAGCCAAAGTGAAGAACTAAAAGTAAAATGGAAAGGTGAAGTGCAGCTAAATTCAGATGGTGTCCCTGATTAGACAAGAGGGAGATGCTGGTGAGGAAGCCTCAGTGCAGAGTACAATGCTCCTCACAAGAAGCATTGCACTCAGGAAATAATGTGACAGGCCCTCTCACTCCCACCCACCTCCCACCCTTGCCCATAAAAAAATGTTGTTCAGATGGCAGAGATGGTTTTAAGGATATCAGGGGGGGCCATTAACATTTGGGGGGCATTTTACTCTGTTTGGTGAAGACACTCTGAAATTGCAATGCCAGAGCAGGGATAGAATCCTTGGCATGGCATGTGGAGCAAAGCCTGCCTAGGTAGGCTTAACAGTAAAAACACTAAATACCACACTGCACATCCCTTTGTTGTGTGAACCCTACACTTTTAGGGTTATGCTAGATTATACTGATTTCATTTTGAAGAGGTAGAAAAATGGTAATGGAGCTTTAAATTTGAGAGAGACTGATAGAAGACATTACATAGGCTATTTAGGGGTCCTTCCAAAGTAAAAGCCAAGGGCAAGTGAAGCCAATAGAAAAGAGCATATACTGTGATGTAAAAAGTGTCCTGGGCTAAGAGGGAATATGAAAACCAAATAGTCAGAGACATCTGAATAACAGAGGATAAATTCTTTATGAGAAATTCAATTCTGGATATGCAGAGGATAACAAGACCATTTATGGATGACAAGCACATTGGAGTGAAGCCAAACAACTCTTGTACCCCAGAAATGTTGACAAGATGCTTGCCCTAATACTGCATTTTCTCCAGGTAACAATATATGAAGCACATTGAGAACCTGCGTTATCAGAGTAAGAAGCAAGGCACAAATTGACAAACTAAGGAGCAGCAAGTCACTAGAACTGTCTGGCGGGCATTCAGTAATGGTGATGGAAGATGTATATGAAGTGGGTGAACCGCTAGCAAAAATATGCAAATATATTATCTATCATTCAAGAAGCAGGTATGTTATCTATCACTCAGGTCAGATAGTGCCCCAGGGCTGGAGAGTCACGAAGGTTACACACATGCATTTAAACATATTAGGAGTTTTCCTGGTTTGTAATTCCCAGGTTACCTTACTCCTAGTAATTTGAAGCAATATTTAAAGATAATTATCAATTGTCTAGACTTACATAACTGTAATAAAGATAAATCAGCACATCTTTTCTTCAGGAAAATTGTTTCCACCCCCTCTGTTAGAATTCTTTGTGGAAAAAGGGAAATGGGCAAGGTGAAGCATTAAATATCATTTATTTGGACCTTCCTTGATATAAGGTCACAGGAGGCTGAGGACACTAAGTTATAATGGAACATCATGAATTAGAATCTAATGACAACAGAGAGTAGTAATGAATAGGCCAGGAGATTAATATAGTGATGCCATGAATCTGCATATTCAAAATGATGTTATACAGTATGTTTGTTAATATTCCAGGAAAGGTAAGATGACCAGATGTACAGATAATGCAAAATTATTTAGTGCAGTCATGATCAGAAATAACTGTGGGAAACTTCAGGACAAACTAACATAAATTAAATGAATGAACAGCACAGCGGTAGGGGAAATTCACATGCAACAATTCACAGAGCATGTGCACACTTTAGGTTTTAAATTAAATGGGACAATAGAGACAAAAGAACTACTCCCTAAGATAGACACATTAATAAGCGCATTTACCCAACACTTAAAATGCGCAAGCAAAACGTTTGGTTGTTTTAAGAAAGGCAGAAAGAATAATTCTGAAATATGATAAAGTCATTGTGTGCACCAACTTCAAAAACATACACCTGAGAACTGGTATGTAATGGACATTGTTAAGAAGCTACATATTTTATTTAATCAACCTACACTGCCAAGAATGCTTGAAAGATCTCCCCTTGGATTGTCCAAGACTTGTTCTACTCTGGTAACAGCAATGAAGTACTATCATAAATTGAGGTGCCAGCAGATGACATACTAGAGAAAACCATCAATTTAACAGATAAAGAAGTATCTAAGCTCTAGTGTTCCATTCAAAGGTTTGAAGGAATTTATCTAAGAAGTGGCTGAGTGCCTAACAAACATATGCAGTCTCTCATTCAAACCAGCGACTGTTTCAAAGGACTGGAGTATAGCAAATATCATACATGTTTAAAATATATATATATATATGAGTGAATTGGGGAATTATAACCCAGTGAGATTTGCCAGATACAGATGTAATTTGATTGAAACCATAATTAAAACAAAATAATCAATCACCTGGAAGGTTAGGATTCAATTTGTACCTGTGCAGCTATGCTCACTCTAGGCTTCCCTTCTGAACATGCTGGAAAGCCTGCACAATGGCCCCACAAACTGTGGTATAGGGTCACCCAGGCATATATGTAAACCTCTAAGTCCCTAAACTTCAGTCTAAGTAAAATCATTAGTTCAATAGAACAGAAACTATCCCATTACTATTTACCCATTGTATCTAGTGAATATTAAATGCAACATGCAAAAAATCTACTAGAGGCAAGGGGTCAAAACCCTCCCTTCCAGGACAGCCATCATCTCATTGAGCCAATTTCCCTTGCTCACCATCTTCCTTTTAGCCCCACATATCTTCCCTTCCTGGCTGCCCAATGGACCAGCTTCAAGAGGAGAGCATGTTAGATAGTGCCTTGTCCTTGGCTTGGTGGTTAGAGCACTTTGCTAGAAAGTGAACAAAGGCAGTTCACACCTCCTCTGGGTGAGGGCTGACATAAAACCTACATTCCCTCCCCTTCAAGGCAAGCCCTCATGCTATGAGCTAAAATAAAAGAGGGTCTTTTTCTTTCATTATACTTCTGGGAGAACTGTTTTACCAGAGATGAAACTAGTCACCAAATTGTATGCAAGTGCCAAAAATTGTTACATGACTACGTAAGTGCCACTTAGGCATGTAAAGGTGAAAAAGGATTTGGTCCTTACAGTTTCTTAGATGTATGAATTAAGTACTGGATAAAGGACAATCAGTGGACATAACAGATTTAGAGTTCCAAAACCCCTTTGACATGGTCCTTCTGTAGTAGATTACAGAAGTTAACAAGCTATCAAGTTAGAGGCAATGTACTGTCTTGGATCAAAGCTGACCAGGAGACAAGAAATAATGAATGGGATTAAACTGTCAATTTTCATTAAGGAGAAAAATTAACAACAGAGGCCTTCTAGTTCTGTATGAGTGTCCATGTTGTTTAATATATTTATTAATAACCTAGACAGTGGTAGGGATAAGCAATGCGTGAGCAAATTTGCAGATGGCTCAAAGTTTGAGATTAGTTAGGATCAGACAGGACTGTGAGCAACCTTAGAGAGGTTAAAGTCAGTCAGGTTAACTGGCAACATGAAGTTCACTGGTGGTAAGTGCAAATAAAAACATATAGGAAGGGAAAATGTAAACTGTTCCTATGCCTTTTAGGGCCCTAAATCATAGAAACATAGGGTTGCAAGGGACCTCAAGTGTCATATAGGATGTTATACAGGATGGTTTATGTAGTATGAGGTAAGGAGAGACATATGCAGACAGAGTATGAGTTGTAATTGAAATTAAAATTAAGTGTATTAACTCAGAAATGGAATAGGATATCACTATAGACAGTTCAGTGGAGACCCTGGCTCCATGTGCAACTGAAGTAAAAAAGCAAGCATTATATTTTATCACACAAGTAAGGATGGGGAACAGTAAGTAAATATACTCTGGCCTTATTTAGGTCAGTGGTTCAATGGCTTCTGGAAACTGTGCAGGACTGTTCTTCTCTCCCCTCCTCAGTCTCATAAAAGAATAGTACAGAACTGTTGGGGGTTCAGACAACTATGATAAGAAACATGAGGGCCAGAAAACTTCTCTTAGGAAAAAAGGATTGGGATTGTTACCTTAGAGAGACAAAGAAGAGGGGACATGAAAAAAATGTATTAAGAATGTCTTTTCTGGAGAAACTAGGGGACTTCCATTCTTTCTGCCTCCTAACACAAAAACAAAGGACAGTTGATAAATCACACAATGTGTGATTAAACTATTGAATTCACTGCCCCGAGAAAGCATTGAGGCCAAGAACCTAGCAAGATGCAAACAAGATTATCCATTCATGCCAATAACCAATGCATTCAGAACAAATTCAAAACATGTTGAAATAATGGAGAAGAAGGTCCTGAGAAGGACAACAGTAATGATCAAGACCTGGAAATATTTTCACATGAGAAGGAAAAAGAAAATCTGACAACATTTAGAAAAGAAATAAAGACAGACAAGCAAAATAGAAAACAGAAGTGAAGAGGAGAATGGATCATTGAGATTATTCGGTCTGATATCCTGTATACCATGCCAAAGAATTGTACCATGTGTCCCACATCTAGTCTTCCTCTGGGCTAGACTTCTGATAAGAGGTCAATCAAACCTCCTGTTTACCTTCATAAAAATCTGGACACTCAGTAAAAGCAACCCATTAAAAGTTATTTTTTTTTAAAGTAAGTCCATAGTAAGTACTTACTTTTTAGAATCTGCAGCCACAAAGTTTTGGGTTGCCTAGCAGAAAAAAATGGAGTTCAAAGAAGTACAAGATATTGCTTTTATTGCATACCACATGTCCCCAGATGAGACCCACATTTTGTTTTGAAAAGGCAGAATGAAGGAAAAAAAAACATCTTTCCAGAATCATGGCTGAATCCTGAATGCAGGGGATCCTGACTGACTGCATAGTTGAATCTTGACCATTGCTGCTCAGGCAAAAATTAGTTTGAACCATCTTACAATCAATACCAGAGTTTATGGCTGCTCATCCAAAAGCTGCTGCCAATTCACCAGCATCTGTGAAAGGGTTAACACTAACCATGACACTTCAGACTGCACACCATCCCACTCTTCATTAGGACTGTGGAGCTTCGGATCCAGAGCAGCTTTGGACGTTTCGGGGTCTTAAGCAGCACATCCGGGTTGAAGCGTTGGCCTTGTTAGGCTTTCCGAAGTGGTTCAAAGCTTCCAAAGCTTTGGAGCCACCTCTGAGATCCGGCCGTAGGGTATAATGGGGAAACAATAAAATATCTATAAATTTGTTGTTTTTTGTCCAACTTGGATTAAATTTTCAGAGATGGTAGACACTGCAGAGAGGATGAAGCATGCCAAGTTTCAAGAAGATCGGTGCAGAGGTTTGGGGGGAACAGCACCCCAAATTCTTGAAAGCAAAACTCATGTCATATCTAGGCGTTACAACACAGAGGAGTCAAAACTGCAGGGGTGGTAGCTCTTACTGAGGCCACAAAGCCTGCCAAGTTGCAAGAAGATTAATGCAGGGCTTTGGGGGGACTGCCCCTCAAGCTGCGGACAAGCAAAACTGGTGCCATGGGTGCTTGTGGGACTGACTATGTCTGCCTTGGCCTTGGGAGACACTACTGCAGGCCTGGCTGCTAAGCAGCTGTGTTCCCAGTTACCAATCAATCAATCATGATTCACTCGGAGACCAGGGACTCAGGGACCAGCTCAATACACAGGACCTAGCTAGTACATAATGACTTAACGAGCATCAATTATCCCCTACAAAACCAGGCTAAGAGGAGGAAAGAATCAATACAGACAATCAACTGCCCCAAGACAGACACAGTCTTGGCACGAGTTTTGCCTGTTGGCGGCTATGGGTGCAGGGCCCCAGAACCCCGCTGCATCAATCTCCTCGGTAGCTGGCAGGTGTCGTGGCCTCTGCAGGGGCCACCATCCCTGCAGCTGTCACCCCGTTGCACCTTAACACACACAGTGTCACCCATGGCATGAGTTTTGCTTGTCCACAGCTTGAGGTGCAGTTCCCCCCAAACCCCTGCATCGATCTTCTTGAAACTTGG